GGGGTTGGTCAAAGCTCAACTGGATGAGTTGGAGGATCTCGCCCACCGTGACGTTGAGCCCAACGGATGGCTCTGGAGAGGTTGGGGAAGGGAAACCCCAAATCCAAGAGGCCACCAAGTCCCCGGCAGAAGAAAGGACAAGAGCAGGAGAAGCAGGGATGGGGTCCGAGGACGACGGACGTCCCACCACGCCCTTGCCCAGCCCCGGTTCCTCACCGTTGATGAGGTAGGGGTGGTTGCAGCACTTGCGCAGTTCCATCATGGTGTTGAGCAAGTTGGGCATGTTGGTGTGACCGGCACCCTTGGAGAGGAAGGAGAAGTTCTTCTCCAGGATGGCCCGGTAGTATTTCTTCTGAATGTTGGTCAACTCCACCTCAATAATGGTCTCCTGCTTGGGCGCCAGGTTCTTCTCCACGTCCTCCTTCAACCGACGGAGCATCATGGGCTTGAGGATGGCCTGGAGCTTCTGCACCTGCAGGTGGAACCAGCGGGGAGAAGTTACCGCAGGCCGGGCAAGAGCCGGGTGACCAAGGAAAGGTCCGGGGTATTCTCGACGTCCATCACCTGCTCCTCCGTCTTGAGGTCTCCGAAGTCCTTGAGAAACTCTGCTTCAGAAGGGAACTGAGAAGGTTCCAGGAAGTGCAGAAGACTGAAGAGCTCTTCCACCGTGTTTTGCAGCGGGGTGCCCGTCAAGAGAACTTTGTGCTCCTGAGGACCAAAGGGTGCAGAACGTTAGAGCTCGGGATGGGACAAGCATGGGATGAACCCAAACGTCTCCAGATGCCACCAGGACCCCACAAGCACCTTCAGGACCATCCCCCGGGGGCTTGGGATGAGCCCAAACATCTCCAGATGCCACCAGGACCCCACACGCACCATCAGGACCATCCCCCGGGGGCTTGGGATGAGCCCAAACGTCTCCAGATGCCACCAAGACCCCACAAGCACCTTCAGGACCATCCCCCGGGGGCTCATGATAAGCCCAAACATCTCCAGATGCTACCAAGACGCCAAGCG